TAAATAAAGCACAATAATTCTCAATGTCATATAAATTGAAATGGAGAAAATAAATATAAAATAAATAATATGTAATGACTCCTAAATAAGAAAGTAAATTATAACTTTAATTTGCAAGAGTAACTTGAGATTAGGTGGACCCACAAAGGATTGTGTGATTTTGACAAACAAAAGAAGTAAAATAATAGCAACAAGATTCGAACTGGCAACCTCAGCATTCCTTTTGAACACCCTTTCCACTGCGCCAAAGGCTCTTTTAATGTTAAGGTTGTGCAACATGAATTATATATTTGTATTTAATAATTTTTTACTTACGTAAACAGTGTGATTTTCCGACGAAGGGTGTTCACGTGCACACCCTTATCAGGCTGTAGCTCCGCCCCTGCATGTAAGGAACTAATTGACAATTATAACTATAGAAAGCTAAAGCCTTCAATTAAGATTCCAAAAACGAGCACCAAATCGGCAATGAAATCCTCAAGCAAGCAATCCCACTCTCGAGTTGAACAAGTAGAAACATGTGTCTAGCTTGGCAATTTGTGTCCTACATAGGACGTGTGTGTCTACTTGTTCAATTTTATACTAGTTTACGTGTATTATGCTAACTCGAGATGCAAAGTTAAATGTTGGACAACCCTTCATTCTCAAACTGTCCCTTGAACAGAGACCTCTGCAGTTCCAACTTTATTAAGCCGTTGAAAATTTCTACAATTTAACTTGTTTCCAGAAATGTTTTCTTTTCATAAGCAGATTTTGGGGCCAAGTAAGCAGATGTACAGTTTATGTGAACGGAACTTGCACTAATTCCACCCAATATGGCCCATGAAGATGATACAACTCATGACACACATGTTAGTCAATGCCAAAGACTTGCAAAATTTCCATAAAAATGATAGAAAATCTCCCAATATTTCCACAACTTTAAAACCTGGCCAATTAAAATGTTTCCACAAACATTTGTTTTTCTTTGGTATTTACTTTCTTGGATAGTGAGACCATTGACTTGAAGTCGTTCTACACGTAATTCACAAGGTGAGAAATAAATGCTATTGACTAACCAACACTTACAAAACTTTGTTTGAATGGCTGTTACATGTTGTTTCATAATGTATCTATTGTATTGTGTTGTATCGTATTGTGGATAGATTGTATTGTTCTATGCCGTTACATAATGTCATACAGTAACAATTTGAATGATAAACCTATACAAAAAATAAGGGAGGGGTAGAACTACTATAGAAATGTAGGGTAAAGAATAAAATAGGATTATTAAATAATAAGTAAAAGACAAAATGAGAAGAAAAAAAATGCGATCAGGCTAGACCGATCGTTACATTAAATGAGACTTTTAGTCGTTACCTAATCATGGATTTAAACAAGTATAACTTACCTAATTATCATAGTGTAAAACCTAAATTACCTTCTATCTCTACTCTTTTTCTAAATACACAAATCCCATATTTTTAGGCATTTCGGATACATAATTAAGGATTCGGATACATTATTGTTGATTATCAATCTATTGCACTTATTAAGGGGAAAAAATTGAAAAATCAAATTAAGATCTCATGGAATCCATCTGTTGCACTACTTAAAGAAAAAAAAACTGAAAATCAAATTAAGATCCCATAAATTGTGTTATTATTTTAAATTATTGTCATGAATTCAATCATATAGTGTAACAAACCAAAAAATTCAAAAATTAAAATTTATTCTTCTTGTTCATCATTCTCTCTGTTTCCTTCATTAGCCGAAAATTTCATACGATACATAATGAATATTTCGATCTTCTTACATTTCTTTTTACTTTCAATCATATAGGGATAAATCCTAACAGAACGAAGAAATTCAATTTTTCAAATTGCATCGGCCCCTTATTCAACGAAGAAACCTTTCAGATTTGATTCAAAAAAATTTGTCGAAATTTTGGATAAGCGAAGTAGGAAGGATACAAAAGTGATGGAATTGTTGTTGGACAAACGATTTCTTTTGTTAATCTTTGAGTTCATCGAAGATCCTTTCAATTTTGATTCAAGATTGTCGAAAATTTTGAGATTCAAAATTATTCTCCTAGTTCATTGAATATCCTTTTAGTTTTGATTCAAAATTATTGAAAATTTTGAGTTTCAAAATTATTCTCCTAGTTCATTGAAGATCCTTTCAATTTGATTCAAAATTATCGAAAATTTTGAGAAGATACATCATGAAGATCCTTTCAATTTAAATGATAAGTGTTGTATTTCTACTAGATACATTAAATAAGAAAGTTTTGCCCATAAGATTTTAGGTTTGAGATCACAATAAGGGAGTGGTGAATGTGTGTTTGGCTGATGACTTTTATATATCCGGTAGTTTTTAAAATTTAGAAAAAGAAGGGATTTAAGTAATATTTTAAAAAGGTAGGGAAAAATAGAGAATAAGGAAATTAAACTTGTGTATGTAAGTAATTTATCCTTTAAACAATACGATACAATAAAATTTAAATAACAGCCAAAACAAAAATGATATTCAAACTAACAATAAAATGCAATACAATGGGTAACAACCATTCAAACAAGGTATAATAGTGATTCATTACAATATTTATACAACTATACCCTGCACAACTTCATCACAAAACCAAAAACAATCAATCATTTAGCCTTGATGATGGTTCCCACAATATTTTGTATCCTTCCCTTCTTATATCTTTTCATAGTTATAACTTTTGCTTCCACTGAGGAAGCAACTGCTCTTCTTAAATGGAAAGCAACATTCCTAAACCAGAACAATTCCTTACAGGCTTCATGGACACTAAGTAGTCCTGCTGGTACCAAGAATTCTTCCAGAATTGAAGCGACGAGTTCTGATGCATGCAGGGGCTGGTATGGAGTTGTATGCGTTAATGGTCGGGTTAACAGGTTGAATATTACAAATGCTAGTGTCATTGGCACACTGTATGATTTTCCATTTTCATCACTCCCTTTTCTTGAATATGTTGATCTTAGTATGAACCAGCTCTCTGGCACCATCCCACCTGAAATTGGTAAGCTCGCTAATCTTGTCTACCTTGACTTGTCTGTCAATCATATTTCGGGCACAATCCCACCACAAATCAGTTCACTAACAAAGCTTGAGACCCTCCACATCTTTGGCAACCAATTAAATGGTTCCATTCCGAGGGAAATAGGTCGCCTAAGGTCTCTTACTGATCTAGCTTTGAGTTCTAACTTTCTTAGTGGTTCAATTCCTGCTTCATTGGGGAATTTGAACAATTTGTCTTTTTTGTATCTTTATAATAATAAGCTTTCTGGCTCCATTCCTTCAGAAATAGGAAAACTTGTCAATCTTGTTGAAGCTTATATTAGTAGAAATCAATTAACAGGTCATATTCCTCCAGAAATAGGTAACTTGATCAATGCAAAATTGTTCTATGCTTTCTACAATAACTTGTCTGGTCCTATTCCTGATGAAATAGGGAAAATGAAGTCACTTGAGTACTTAAGCTTCCAGACAAACAATCTCTCCGGTCCAATTCCCAAAACAACAGGTGACTTAACTGAGCTCAAACTCTTGCACCTTTATTCCAACGAACTTTCTGGTCCCATTCCTAGTGAGTTGGGGAAACTGAAAAAATTGAATGATCTGCAATTATCCAATAATCAACTTACCGGTCCTATTCCTGGTTCATTTGGCAATTTGAGAAACTTGCAATTTCTGTATCTCCGTGCCAACAAACTTTCTGGTTCTATTCCAAAAGAACTTGCATATTTGGATAACTTGGTTATTATGCAAATGGATGAAAATCAGTTTTCAGGCCATTTGCCTGAGCATCTTTGCCAAGGTGGGAAACTTGAGAACTTCACGGTGAATAGTAACAAACTGACAGGGCCAATACCAAGAAGCTTTAGCAAGTGCTCGAGTTTCAAAAGAGTTCGCTTGGATAACAACAGTTTTACTGGGAATTTATCTGAAGCTTTTGGCATCCATCCACACCTTTACTTCATTAATTTGAGTGAAAATGATTTTCATGGTGAACTCAGCAGCAACTGGGGGAAATGCAAGAGTTTGACTGATTTGCGGGTAGCCAGAAATAACATTAGTGGTAGCATACCACCAGAGATTGGAAACCTCAAAGGGCTTCAAGGACTTGATCTTTCATCCAATCATTTGGTTGGACAGATACCTAGGGAATTAGGAAAATTGACCTCTCTGGTTAAGCTTTCTGTACAAAACAACAATATTTCTGGCAATATTCCTATAGAACTTGGGTCACTGACAAAGTTAGAGTCCCTAGATCTGTCAAACAATAAATTGAATGGGTCGATCCCAACGTTTATAGGAGATTACCAGCACCTATTTCACTTGAACCTGAGTTGTAACAAGTTTGGGCAGAAAATTCCAAAGGAGATAGGGAGGATAACTCATCTTAGTGTACTTGATTTGAGCCATAATCTTCTTGATGGAGAAATACCTGCTCAGTTAGCTAGTTTGCTGGACTTGGCGAACTTCAATCTTTCCCACAACAGCCTTTCTGGGCGCATTCCTGAAGAATTTGAAAGTTTGACCGGTTTGCAGGATGTTATCTTGTCATACAATGAGTTGGAAGGTCCAATCCCTAATAATAAAGCTTTCATGAATGCCTCATTAGAAGGTAATAAAGGTCTTTGTGGTAATGTGACTGGATTCCAACCTTGCAAAAGGCCATCTTCTATTGTGAAGAAGCACTCAATGGCGAAGGGACTTAAACTCATCCTCATCACTGTACTTCCTGTTATGGGAGCACTAGTACTACTCTGTGCTTTCATTGGTGTTCTCTTTATGTGTAATAAAAGAAGGAGAGTTAGAGACGTTGAAAGAAGGGATTCCAGTGATGATGTTGATGGTTTGATTTCCATATCCACATTAAATGGAAATGCATTGTACTGGGATATCATAAAAGCCACAAAGGAGTTTGATGCAATGTTTTGCATCGGAAAAGGAGGATCTGGAAGCGTTTACAAGGTAAAGCTTCCAACGCTTGAGAATGTAGCTGTGAAGAGACTTCATTCTTCATTTGAGGTTACCCATCGCAAAAGCTTCATGAATGAGATAAGGTCATTGACAAGGATCAAGCATCGCAACATTGTGAAACTCTATGCCTTCTGTTCAAATGCACAACACTCATTCTTGGTTTACGAGTACATGGAGAAGGGTAGCTTGTCTAGTATTTTGAGCAGTGAAGTAGAGTCCAAGAAATTGGATTGGCTTACAAGGGTGAATGCCATCAAAGGTGTTGCTTATGCTTTATCTTACATGCACCATGATTACTCACCCGCGATTGTTCATCGAGACATATCAAGCAGTAATGTTTTGCTTGATTCCGAGTATGAAGCACGTGTTTCAGATTTTGGCATAGCTAAGATTCTTAAGCCAGACTCATCCAATTGTACTGCACTTGCAGGCACATATGGCTATGTAGCACCAGGTAAGATCTAACTTCTTATCCTTTTTTTAGTTCATGAGTTATTTCTGCACAGTCTATGTTGTTTCTATCTCATTTGGAACTTTATTGTTTCAGAGCTTGCCTATACAATGAAGGTGACGGAAATGTGTGACGTCTATAGCTTTGGAGTATTAGCATTGGGGGTAATCAAAGGAAAGCATCTTGGGGATTATATTACTGTGCTAGCAAATTCATCGTCTAGAGATCATGTGCAGCTTAGCGATTTGCTAGATGAACGCCTTCCATATCCTGAAGATAGCGTAAAGAGTTGGTTTTATCATCAAGCTAGCAAGCTCATGTTTGCTTGAAACTCCAAAATCAAGGCCAACAATGCACTTCATCTCCAGTATGTTGTCAATGGATCCACCTGTTTCTCAAATAACCTCTATGAAGGCGAAAAGCGTCCCCGAGATGTAAGGTGTCTATGTATGGGGAAAAAAAGAAGCAAGTTTTGACACCAAGTGGTTGTGAAGTAAGAATAAGAAGCTATTATTACTGGGACTAGTATTTGTCTATTTTATTGTTAGTTGTGCTTATCTAGTTTAGTGTTTCAACCTGAAGGATTCTGAGCTCTTGTACTAGAGGTAATACAATATCAAATAAAATGTAATATTTCAATTTTCTTGTGCCAATTAGTGCTAATAAAAATAGTTTTATGTTTGCTAAAGATGAACAAGTTAAAGATATAGTAATACACTGCAATGCATTTCAAACAATGATATTTTAAAGATGAAAATAGAGAGTATTATGTATCAAACTAACATCATGGATGTATGCATACATTTAGACAGAGTCTGTAGTTGTAAGATACTGGAAATATTTCACTTGTGTTACTAGAGAAACAAATTTCTTTGTTATTTTTAAACATAGCTTCCGCATAAATTGCCTTACATGGAAAACCTCATGGGGCGTTAGAGTCTGTTTGGACGTGCTTATAGCTTTTGGTTTATATGCCACAAAACATAAGTTAGGAATTCTGACTTTTATTTTTGTGTTTTTAACTTATAAAACAAGTGCTTAAAATGCTTGAAGGTTATTTTGGTTTAAAAACACTTTAAAAAAGTCAATCCAAAAGGCTATTAGAGACGGTTTGTATTGACTTTTGGCTTTTTTTTGTTACTTTGACTTAAAAACAAGTTCTTGTAAATACTTTTTATTTTATTTTATTCAAACACATTACGAAATTACTTAAAAGTTATTTTAACTTAACAAAGCATAAAATATGTCGATCCAGGGTCTTAGTCATCTTGGTTTTAGTTTTAACCAAATTTGAAAGACAACAAATTAAATATTTGCTCTTGCTATTAATGAATGGTGTGCCCTTGTTACACTTCATGTCCATTCATACATTTTTCGTTAATAAATTGTCTCAAATAAATATATGCTAATTGTCATTTATAAATCTGCCTCTCACTTTTGGTCAATTCATATCTTTGTTATTAACAGATCATCTCGTATTTGCTCTTTGTCATTGATGGCGTTCTAACATGAAATACCTAAGATTTTATATTCAAATTTATCCATAAATGTTTTATTAGCCGTATATTTTAAGACAATGCACATATTAGGGGATTTGTTAGTGTCAATAGAAAAAAACGAAAACTTTTCCTAAGAACGGGATTAATATTAGATCAAAAGTTTAATGGATGGCAAAATTTACTTAATTACACGATCAAATCTTATCTAACCCTTTCTACATCGTATAATTAATATGCCTTATTAGCTAAGAAATACAGACACAAAATAATACTCTGATCTCCGTTTCAATATAAGTGTCTTAGTTACTATTCAGACAATCAAAAATATAACTTTTTACCAATGTTTTTTTCAAATACTTTCTAGATATTTTGTATTGTTAACCCTTATGCATGATAATTTTATTTTTTTTATGTAATTTCCTAAATATGTAAATCTTTATTTCGAAAAAAATAAAAATTTCATGTTCAAATTCATTTCGAACATTAATTAGTTCAAACCTTTTATTCTGGATTAAGATAATCTAACCTTCCATCTTTAATTCGTTTAGCTTTAAACTTCTTCATTTTCCCACCAATTTAATCCTACAAATAAAATAAACAATTTAGCACAATTCATAAAATTCAAGCTCAAAAAAGACAAATATAAATAATAAATGTGAGAAAAATAATGATTAAAAATATGTATTTTTAGCCTCACATCAACACTCCACACTTAAACTTTTGTTCATCCTCGAGCAAACATTAAAGCTCTTCTCAAAAATATCAAAATAGGAATTCCATCACTTTGGTTAATACAAACAATTAGGTCATATACCAATTTCAAAACATCAAGTAGACTTCTCAATCATTATGCAAGACATCCAAATAAACAACAAACCTCTAACCTCCTAACCTCAAGGAAGAACTTTGAACTCATCAAATTTACTCACCTACTCTCATCAAAGAAAGCTAATAAAATCACCTATCTATCATGAAACAAGTGCCCTCACAAAAAGAAATAGTCCACACACACTCAATTCAAAAGATTGAATATAAATTAAGGACTTCATATCAAGAACAACTCTCACACTCACAAATAAAATTCACATCTATGCACAAAGAACCATAGGCTTGCCCATTATGGTACATCCCCACTAATTAAGCATGCTTGAATAGAATCAAATAGCACTTTAACGGGTTGTAAATGTAGGCTAGGGGATGGGTAGGAAAACTATATAATAGTAACTTACACTTCCTTAAGCACATTGCAATTTTAGATTTCATAACCCATTATTTTCTTCTCTTTATTTTCAGCCCTCTCTTCAATAATTATTTCACAAGTAATGTTCATCATCTCTAGAATGCTTCAATAATTTTTTTTAATTTTGTTTTGCACCATTTCTTGTTTTTTAGCTAAGTTTTCCTTCATGATAGTCACCCTCAACTTATGTATTTTACATGCGTTAAGGTGCACGATGCCCTTGGAAGGATCAGAGTCATCATCAAGGTAACTTATTTTTTTTCATGTCACATTCTTTTTTTTTTCCTTTTTTATGTCACATTCTTTCAAAGATGGCTTTTAAGCACTTTGTAGCTATCATTGATTACCTTTTCACTCAACCATCCCTTTTTCTCAGAATTGATAATTAGAATAAGTCTATGCTATAATGCTTAAGGAAGCAAGGTGCAAAAACTAGGGATTCAACAAAATGGTCAAGGGTAAAATATGGCTACCAACAATAGGCTACATGTTCAAAAGGGCTAACTAGTGATAAAATATCTGAAAAGGCTAAAATTTACCAGACAAATCAAAGAAAGTCTATTATCATCTCCTAAACAAAGCATCACTTTTTATTTCGCTTCAATAACATGCAAGGCAAGTTCTAGACCAAGATGCAAAACATGGAATAAACAAATTCTCACCACACATGGCACAAGTATCAATCAAGATGGACAAATTCCAGTTCTAAGAGAGACAAGATCATAACAAACTACAAAATAAAATAAGCTATATGCAAAGTCACAACCATGAGCTTAGATGTCTAAGAGTCTGCATTTTTTTTAATCAAGCATTCACAAGAAAGTACTACTCAAAAATTACGCCTAAATAGAAAGTATCACACCACTCAAAAGGGTCTTTTCTTTTCTCTTTAAAAAAAAATATAAAAAGAAAAAAAATTTATTCCTAAAAAAAAATGACACTCGGTTCAAAGGGACTATCCTTAGGAAAAGAACCGAAAAAAAAGCCAAGGAACCCATCCTATTAAAAAGACTCAATAAAACAGTTAAAACTAAGAATTTATTCCTTCATCCCACTCAATAAAAATATACTATGTCCCCAAAGCATCAAATAAAATTTAAAACAAGGGTTAGGAAAACTCCCTAAGGCCTTATGGCCTAGCTAGTAGCATGTTCTCTTTATTTACATCAAGGGTCGAATGCACCCTACACTTAAGCTCAAACATGCTCCTTTGCTGCAATTTTTTTTGGGTACTCAGACTACCCCTAATCTGCAAAATCAAGATAAAAAAAAGTGACACTAATAAAATAATAAGTTACAGTACTAATTGGGTTGCCTCCCAATAAGCGCTTAATTTAATGTCGCGGCACGACGTAGACACCTTAGTTACTCAGATTCCATCTCCTTGATTAGCCATTTTCCTCAAAGTTTTTCTCAATTCAGGATGGTAGGGGGTCAAGAATTCACATCGACTCCGTGTACTTGGCATACACTAGAGTTGAAACCTGTAGAAAACAAAACTAAAACAAAACATAAAATTGAGAAATACTTGACTAAAGTTCAATAATGTAGTTAAACTTAATCTAAAAGCCAATAACCCCCCGGCAGCGGCGCCAAAAATTGATATGCTCAAATGACACCTCCCTAAAGAAGCATAAACGATCGTTATCAAGTAAAGAACCCAACTTGTACGTTGGGGTCGATCCCACGAGGAAAATGGTTTAGACTTAGCTTTAACCAACAATTATATTCGTTTAGTCAAATTACTTCCAGAAACAAGTAATTAAAAGGGTGGTTTGTGGAACAAATTGTAAAAATTTAGTAAGTAATCAGTAAACAAAAGTCAATTTCGGTTGTTATCAAGATGAGAGAATTAACTAGGGTATGTGTGTTCCCCACAAGCTCATAACGCAGTAATCCTAGTAATAGCAATCCTTTCCCAGTGTACTACATGCAAAGTGATAAGTTAGGTATCTCTAAATCCTTGGTCCGGTATCTAGAGAATTTCACCCCGCACCTTGGTCCGGCTACGTGTGTATAACTTACTAACCCTTACCTTTACCTCATATTAGACATCACATCGATGTTTGGCTTAGTTATTACTTCGCACCAATCGACACTAGCCTATTAGATAGTATCACACTAAATCTATGTTGATAATTCTTTTCTTGTTGATTACCTCCTTGGTCCGGTGAGTAGCAACAACGCGAGTTCTAACGTTTGCACTCGTTAAAAATACTTCTAAACGAAAGAATTATCAATGCATGCAACAACACTATTCAAGAATTGCTTAGTTACTATTCATACTTTGTTAATCGTTTATGGTTCCCACTACCCTAGTTGTGGAGTTTAGTTACCCATAATCACATGAACATGAAAGAGTTATGAACTTACGTAAGAAGAATAATAAACCCAGAAATTCAACTTGAATTGCAACACCAAAATCTTCAAAATGAACTTAGGAAATTAAGAATTTCTAAAGTTGTCAGTTAATCTCCCAAGTCAAGAACTAGAATAAAAGTAATAAAGTCTAACCCGAACCATAAAAAGTATCCCCTATGAATGCTCTCCCCCAAAATAATTATTTCTATGGACTACTTATAAATAAAGA